CAAAAAATGAAGGCGCTTAGATAGGGTTCAACGAGGGATAAAAAATTGTGCCATCTGGTACCCGTTTAGCGAGAGAATGCCGACGGAAATGATACTTGGGATACGCGTGTTTTGTTTTTTCTATCGCCCATCTCTTGCGCTGAAATTGGCACAACCCAGTTCCATCTTCACGAAGGTGATGTAACTTTCCTTCCCTATAGCTTTATGACTCTTGACTCTGGAGTAAGTTCCCTTCATCTCTGTTCCGGTTCTGCTTTATCTCACCATCTCTGTTCGAACAGAAGACGACACTACTCATCTGATTCTAGCAACCTCCACATCTTTAAATCTGAAAGTATTCTTAATTTACCTTCGTTAGGGTTTAATTTACCTTTCGTTTTAGGTAAATATCATCCCTCTTAGGTTAGTTCTAGTTCAATTTCACAATATACTTCGTTAGGGTTTAATTTTCCTTGAAACGTTTTGGTTATTGTGTTAGGGATACCATCGATTGCATCTATATAAGAATAGACACTTAGAATTAGAACTTGAGTTAGGGGTTGATTCATCTAGTTTCTCAATTTTCATGCAATTCCGAAGAGCTACAGTAGCATCATTCTCCCCAGATTTAATCATCACAACACCAGGACAATCGAACGATTTGATATTCTTGTCTAATTGAACTTCTTGAATTGTTCTTGTTAGACCTGGTGTAGCCCCAACATTAGCAACATGACATGTTTTCAAGCTATTAATTAGACTGCTCTTGCCTACATTAGGCAAGCCAACTACACCCATAGTAATCGACTTTTTACTCTGCATCAAATTTGGAGTACACCATCAGTAGAAAACTTATAAGTGAACACCACATGAAAAAAAGATAAAAAAGTTGAAATGTCTACATCATGGCTTCTTGAGTAATTCTTGACTTTTTAATCGACTTTATAATAGTTTCTGCTCCTAGACAATCACTTGTTTGTAAAAGATTAGTCGTCTTTTTTTGCAACCTTTGAGGATTCCATCCTAGATTAGATTCCTGCTGTTGAGTGCTACACTTAAAAGCAACTGCTGACAACTCCTCTTTTAGTGACTTTCTTTTGATTTTTCGTTTAATTTTTTGGTGAAGCAAACAAAAGCTATACCTGATTAGTTATTTTTCAACCATCACACATAAAGAGTTCTTTATGTATGATTTTGGTTTTTATTTCCTTTTTCATGCTTAGTTGATTGATGATATTCACCAAAGTACTACTTGTAATTTATTATAATTTTCTTTATGGGTTTCTCTAGACAAAACTAATTATCGGTTTTAGCTTTATCATACGCTTTTATATTGTGATTCTTTTCTATAGACATTACACTAATTATCAATTCTTTTTTTGAAGTGATCTCAAAAGGCTATCTTTGGAAGGAATATTCACACCTGAGACGTTTGTAAGTGTCATGTTCTTTCGCATAACCATTTTCTAACTTGAATCACTTTTGCCTTTGT